ACACACACACACACACACACACACACACACACACACACACACACACACCCCTCTCAATTTCTCAGGCCCTTTGTGACTTGCTTGGCATTACTCAATATTCAGGAAAACAACTTTTTCATGCAGATGAAGATACTACACTAACGGCTACATAATTAGAGAATTGCAGCAACTTTTGAGATGGAATGTGGCCACCATCTGGACTGAAGAATTTTTAAGTATATACAAGTATTTATTATTAATAACTAGCATTTGTATAGCACTATGTGCCAAGCACTTTACAAATATTATCTCATTTGATCCGCATAATATCCCTGGGAGGTAAATGCTATTCTTATTCCTATTTCACAATTCAGGAAACTGAGGTAGACAGAGGTTAAGTGGCTGAATTGACCCAGGGTCACACAGCTGGTAAGTGTCTGAGACTGGATTTGAACTTAGGTCTTCCTGACTCCAGGTTTAGTACCCTATCCACCATGGTACCATCTAGCTTGGGAGTGCTGGATTCGGGATTTGTAAGGTTTAGGTTCACTGCCTCTTTTTTCTTGACACTTAGCTGTATGTCTTTGGGCAAACCATTCTATCTTTCTGAGCATCAGTTTCCTCCCAATCAAAGTGGGAATATGTACCTATCTCACTTTACTATAGGTAATGGATACCCACCTGTAGTACCTATGTCAAGGGGCTGTTGAGAGGCTCAAGAAAGATGCTGTAGGTAAAAGACTACACAAATTAACTATACTTAGTCATTCAGAACCCTCCTTGACAACAACAACAATAGCTAACTTACTGCATCTACCATACAACAGGTATTGTGCTAAGCACTTTACAAGTATTATCTCGTTTGACCCTTGCAACAACCCCGGGAGGTAGAGTTTCTGTTATTATCTCCATTTTACAGTTGAGGAAACTGAGGCAAACAAGGTTAAGTGACTTGCCCAGGATCACACAGCTAACACGTGTGAGGCTGGATTTGAATTCAGGTCTTCCCTGACACTACTAAAAAATGACTTAAGTACAATAACAACAATTTTCTGACTCCCGGCCAGCTCTCTATCCACAGTGCCACCCAGCTGATCCCTCAATTGAAACTATTTGCCTTTATAAAAATGCAAACACTGCTGCTGATAAATAATTGCCAATATGTAAATACTTTGTATTTAACTAGTTAAGAAAGTACTTGATCTTCTCACAAAGAGGCTTTGCTGGGGCAGCTAGGTGGCACAGTGGATAGAGCTCCAGCCTTGGAGTGGGGAGGACCTGAGTTCAAATCCGGCCTCAGATACTTGCCACTTACTTAGCTGTGTGACCCCGGGCAAGTCACTTAACCCCGATCGCCTCGCCAAAAACAAAACAAACAAATAAAACAAAGAGGCTCCGTTTTCATAGAACCACTGAATTTCGAGCTTCTCAGATGTCACTGAATCCAACTCTCCCCTTTCACAGATGAGGAAATTGAGGCCCAGAGAGAGAAAGAGAACGGCTCAAGGTCACTTACTAGGTGAGTGGCCGCAAATCCGGGGCTCTCTTCCTCAGTGTGGCCCTCGCCACGGTCGCCCCTCTCGTGACCTCGGTCCGACGGTGCGGCCTTGCCTCGCCTTCTCCAGGTGCAGGCCCTTTCCCGGGGCCGCCTGGCTTGTTGGCAGCCCGGCTCCGGGGCCGTGCGGAAGGAGCCACAGGCGGCTGGGTCGGCCCCGTGTCGGCCCCAACCCGCGAGTTCTCGCACCTCGAGCCCCACCATCCCCGGCGGGCCTCGTCCACGTGCCATGCCCCCAGAAGCCACTGCGCGCGCCCTCGAGCGAGCCCCGGAGGGCTGACGGGAGGAGAGACCTTAGGCGTCCGGCCCCGAGAGCCCGAGCTCCGCCCCAGGCCGGCCGGAGGGGACCCGGAGCGTCTGGGACCGCGTTGGTTCCGAAAGGCGGCCCCGGCTGGCCCGAGCTGCGCCGAGGAGGGGGTGGGGGGGGGGGCGGGGGCGGGGCGAGAAGGCTGGCCAGGTGTCTGGCGGGGCGGAGCGAGGGCCCCGCCCTCCCGGGTTACCTGGGGCGAGAGGGCGGGCCTGCGCGGCTCTTCCCGTCTGACCCCGCCCCTTCTCCCGGGCTGCGCCCGAGAGCTGGAGTCGGGAAGTGGCTCTGGAAGCCCGGAGGCAGACGCCTCCCCCTCCCCCTCCCCCCCCCCCACCCAGCACCCCCCCCCCCCCCCGCCGCCGCCGCCCTTGAGCTGAGGCCACGGCTGGCCAGTCTCGTGAACGAGGGGCTGCATGGAGGGGCTGGCGATCCTCTGCCTGCTGTGGGGCGCCGCCGCCGCCACCGAGATCGCGGCCGGTGAGTGGGGCACCCAGGGAGGGAGCGATCGGGATGGACCGGACCGGACCGGATCGGGCCGGGCCGGGCCCGGGGGCAGAGCCCACGCCAGGGGCACCATCGGCAGCTGGGCTCCCGCGGAGCCGCACTCTGTCCGGCCGCCGAAGTGGGGAACTTGCCGGGGAAGCCCGTCCTCTCCCCTCATCCTTCCCGGGATCTGAAGCCGACTGAAAGCCGGGAAGTTCCGCCACAGTCTCGAGGGAGCGGCCCTGGGAGCGTTAGAGCCGGCAGGGGTTGGGGGGGGGGGGGGGGGGGGGGGGAAAGAGAGCAAAGACCACTTGGCAGCCCCATCTGAGCTGCTGAGCCGGGGTAGAGCCTCAGCCTGCCTTTGGCGGCCGCCTGGCCCCCTACACCCCGCCTGGGTCGCCGAGGGCAGCCCGCAGGCAGGAGCCCAGTTCGGTCCCTGGACCAACGGACAGAGGCTGAAAGGGAATGAAAACCTTTCACAATTTCCTTTTGGTATTTATTGCCTTGTCTACTAGGCTTTGCGTTGTTGATAGTTTAAGGATGGGGGGGGGGGGAACCGCTCCTGTTATCCCCAGGTTTCCAAAAAATTGAAATTCTCTTTTATACACTGACTCAGCTTTTAAAGTCGGTTGATTAACTAGTATATATACATTAAGCGCTTAGCAATCTCACTGGGCAGAAAAGATTCAGAAAATCACATGACTTTTGAGTCTTAGACGAACTTTAGGGAACATCTAGGCTGAACTGTCACATTTTAGGAGGAAGGAAGCTAGAAGCCTAGAGAAGGGAAGACACTTGCCCTAGTGCCTGCTAACAGCTAAGATTGAGACTCAGGCACTCCAAAAGCAGACCTGCTGTTCTCTCCATTGGCGTAGAGGATGATGAAGTCACTTGTCATCAGTCATGAAGCTGAGTGGGTGCTACAAGCCAGGTTTCTTGACTGGGTGATTTTGTTCCACTCTACAGAGCTGCATCCTAAACACAAGGACCACCTCAAAACTGAGTACAGTCTCCATCTCACAGATCTGTTGGGTTCCAAAACTTGGTTTGTACTTGGTGGTTTGGAACTCAGAAGGATGATATGAACAATGGTTAGGTTTCCAAGCTGGGAGGCTGAGGCTAGAAGGTAGGGAAGATCTGGCAGCAAAATGAGGCAGAGTGGTTCATAGGTTGTGTTGTTTTGGGTTCCTTTGTCGTGTCATTTTTTAGTTGTGTCCTACTCTTCGTGACCCCATCTGGGGTTTTCTTGGCAAAGATTCTGGAGGGGTTTGCCATTGCCTTCTCCGGCTCATTTTACAGATGAGGAAACTGGGGCAAACAGGGTGAAGTGACTTGCCCAGGGCCACCCGACTAGTGAGTGTCTGAGGCTGGATTTGAACTCTGGAAGTGCACCACCTTGGTATTTTTGGGGGGTTTTTTTTTGGTTGGATTTTTTATTTTTAACAATGGGCCAATAGTGTAGTTTCCAGTAAAAAGCGATTGATGAAGCTTGAAGTGACCACAGAAAGCTTCACTGAGGAAGAGGAACTTGAGCCGGGCCTTGAAAGATGGATGGACTATAAATGATAGAAGGAAGGGAGTGTTTTTCAGGTGAAGGAAAGATGGAGAGTAAAAAGACCTGGAGGGAGAAATGAGCCTAGTGTATGGACTTTGAGGATGCTGATCTGGCCAGACCAGAGTGTAGGAAAAATAATGGGATGTTAAATAGGTAGGAAGAACAAGTTAGACTTGATATAGGCAGCAAGGAACCATGGAGGGCTTTTGGTAGGGGAATGACATGATGAAAGTAACATTTAAGGAAGATTTCTTTTTTTTTTTTTTAATGTGGGGTGGCTTAGATGAGAAAAAGACTGGCATCTCGAAATAGGTGATTAATTCACATGTGCAGATTGTCCTGGGATGATAGGTTACAAACCTGCTAGCAGGGGCCACATCTTACACGTTTTTGTATCTCTCATAGTTTCCGTCTTGGTGCTTTGTACACGGTAGGGACTTAACTATCTGGTCAGATGCACGAATGGAGAGGAAGGTATAAACACAACACAGAAAGAAAAATGGACAGGACTTGGTTATTGACCAAAGCATAGAGAGAAATGAGTCAAAGGTTATAATAATTCCTCACATTTGTATAGAGCTTTTTATGAAAGACTTTTCTCAGAAAAGCCCTGAGAGGTAGGCAGTATACATAATAGCATTCTCATTTTACAGATGAGGAAATTGAGGCTCAGAGAGGTTGGTCATATAACCAGCAAGTATCAGCCCATTCTAACTACAAGCCCAGCAAAATCAACACTACGCCCTGTCTCTGTAAGGTGACAAGATAATGCCAAGGTTTTATCTCTTCCCAAAAACCCACCATGTTCTGTCAGTGTTAATGTGTTCACATAGGAGAGACTAAAACCTGAGGTTTTGTAGGAAAGCTTTGTAAACATCATCATGTCAAGAATAGTGAGTTTGGTCATTTGTAATATTATAGACTAAATAAGGGATTATTTTTCCTTCTCTAAACTTGAAATCCAGAGTTTTTGTTTTTCTTGCTGCTTTGAGAGGCAGCATGACGTTATTGAAAGACATTGGCTCTTGTCATCAGGACGATCCGAGTTTGAATCCTGCCTTCAACACTTGCTAGCTGGGTGACCCTGGACAAGTCACTTCAACTCTCTGAGCTTCCAATTCCTCATCTCTAAAATGAGGGGGTTGTTCTCAGCCTCTAATATCCATTTTAGCTCTGAATCTATGATCCTCTGAGGTCAGTCAAGGCATCCAGACCACAAATCATTGCTACTAAAGAAAGTTTTCTGGGCAGAATTGTAATTCTTTAGTCTTTAGAGAACTTGAAAAATTTCAATGCCATTGAAAACTGAAATAAATTTCAAGAATATACATTTTTCTACCAGAAAATAAGTGATATTCAGATTTAAACCTTTAGCTTGAGACAGCAGAGATAAGACCTAGATTTTTGAAACTTAAGCTGGGGTTATAAAACTGGATGCTTGGGGGAGGGGAGAGTACATAAGACAAGATTAAAAGGTTTTTTTAAAAGATACTCAGCAAGGTAAGGTGGAAAGAGCTGGTGTCAGAAGGCTTGGGTTCAAACTCTTTGGATGCTTACTATCTGGATGACCTCCCTGGCCCTCAGTTTCTTCATCTGTAAAATGAGGGAGTTAAACTAGATCCCTATGATTTTAGTCTGAAAGGACTTTGCTCTGCTCTTTCAGTCTGCCTCCTGATCCCATCACTCTGCTTGGATGGCACGGATCTTCTTTTTTTCCTCATTTCAGTCCCCATGCCCCCTCTATCCAATTTGCCTCACATAATATTTTAATTTGCATCTCTCTAATACAGTGAATTACACAGTTGTGTTAATACAGCATTGATTTGTATCATATTTCTCTATGTATACTGTAAGGTCAATTACACCAGAGACTGTATCTTAACTACATTTTATATCTCTCCCACCCCCAATCTAGCACAATTCTATATACACAGTTTTGTGTGTGTGTGTGTGTGTGTGTGTGTGTGTGTGTGTATGTGTGTGAATTAGATCAGATAGAATATTGGACTTAGAATCAGGAAGACCTGGGATCAAATTCTGCCTCAGAGCCTTAGTTAGTAGTTTTGTGACCCTGGGAAGTCACTTTGACTCTCTGAGCCTGTCTCCTTCTCTGTGAAATGAGGTTGTGCTCAGTAGCCTCTAAAGGCCCTTCCTGTGATCCTATGAATTGCTTATTCTTCTCGTTTGATCCTCCATCCTCTCCTGAGACACTTCTCCGTCGGCTCCTTTTCTGTGACTCCTTTGCTGGCTTCTCATTTTCCCCCTAAGTTTTCATCCGTATAATTCTTCTCTCTATAGACCTTTTCTGCTTTTATATTTTATTATTTTATCTGTTCCAGTGGCTTCAATTATTACCTCAATGCAGATAACACCCACATCTGTGTTTCTGTTGACCTCTCCTCAGAGCTCCTTTCCTCAGTGTCTACTTGTTGGACATAGCAACATGGATAGCCCCATTGGCATCTCATACTCCACATGACCAAAATTCTTCACCTCTAAAAAATCTTCCCTCTGTCTCGCAACTCATTATGATGGTACCATCATCCTCCCAGTCACCCAGACTCGAGCCCTTGGAATCATCTTTGATTCTCTCCTCTCTTTGACATCAAGACGCTTGTAGTAGCCTCCTAACTGGCCTTCCTGTGTCCAGGGACTCCCTTTCACACAAGTAATCTTTGTAATGCCCCCCCCCCATTCTGTCACTCCACTCTTCAAAGCTTGTCCGGGGCTACCTATTACAAAATAAAGTATAACCTGATCTTAGCATTCAAGGCCCTACACAACCTGACTCCAACCTTCCTTTCAAGCCTTTCTCTTAAATCTTTTCATACATTCCACATTCCAATCCAACTGGACTACTCACTGCCCCCTGCCCTTTTCTACCATTTCACATCCCTGTCTGTTCCCTGTGCTTAAAATGGACCCACCCCAGTGGCTCAACCTCTACCAGTGGAAATCCTGCTAAAGGCTGGAATTTCTTCTTTGTGTCTGTAATACAGGGAGTAAAGTTGTAAGTGGCAAGCACTCGATGTTAGAATTGACGTGAATACATGATGTAAAAAGTTAGCAGGAGAAATGAAGAAAAAAAAAGTAGAAATGCTTGTCAGAACGGCCACAAGTTTGAAAAAGAAACCCATGAGATTGGGTGATACCTCCCTCAAAGATGGAACTGGTCATATCGTTAGAGAATATAGAAGTAAGCCAACCATGACTGAAGCAGCTGATTTCTTTTCCTGGGACACTGGACAGGGCACAAAGTACTTTCTCCATCTCCTCAGGTGATCCAGAGCTGCAGGTGCACAATTAATCTGAACAAATCGTGCCCTCAGGAACCACAGAGTGCTTTTAAATTCTCTCACAACTGGGGAGGGGGGGAGAGAAGGAGGGGGGAGAGAGATGCAGGGGAGGGGAGGGGAGGGGAGGGGAGAAAGCCAGAATCCAAGTAAGTGCTGCTCCAAAAGCTATTAGGTCATTTGGAAAGACTTACTTAAAAAAAAAAAATTGAAAAGGCTTCTCACTTTCACTAAGATAGCCTTAAGACTGTAGGGAAGGAAGAAGAAACAAGTGTTTTAGTGCCTACTTTGTGCCAAGTATTGTGCTAAGTGCTATACAAATATTATTATCTTATTTGATCCTCACCACAACCCTGAAGGTAGGTGCTATTATTATTCCCATTTTACCGTTCAGGAAACTCAAACCAACAGAAGTTAAGTGACTTGCCCAGAGTCACACAGCTAGGAAGTGTCTGAGGCCAAGTTTGAAATCTTCCTGAGTCTGGACTCGGCACTGTGTACACTGTGGTACACCCTAGCTGCCTATAATACCCTGACTCTGAATGTGGCTGTTGAAAATTGAGATATGAGTGGACTCCAGACAGAGGAAGCTAAGGCCCCTAGCTGAACTATGGTCTATATTTTCAATCCATACATACAAATGAAAAGATTCAATGAGGCATCGATAATACCAAGAGATAGCTGTTTAAAAAACAAAACAGAAGACTTTTCTTGTGCTTGGTTTGAACAGAGGCTCACCCTCCACCTGTGACCAATTTCAGCATTTCCGTGAAGAACCTCTGTACTATCTATTGGCAGTGGAGTCCTCCTGAAGGTGTCAATGCAACATGTAAGCTGTGGTATGATAGTCATTTGGGGGAGGAAAAGGTACGTTTCATTCAGGGGTAAGTTTTCTTGCTATTCACTGCGTTGGTAATGCAAAATCGGCATCAAGAATTCTGCAAAAGGTTGGGTAAATTACCATCTCTTATTGGTTTGGGATTTCCCTTTGTGCATCTTCAAGTTACATTTCAACCAAAAATATTGAGAAAATGGAATATCCTTAAAATCTGGCCATGTACAGAAGATCCAGGTGAGAAGTCACATGTGTTTTGGTTTCGCAAGGTTACAATATTTATGGGATGGATGTGGAATGCAACTGGTCTTTCAATGCCTTTAATTCCCATGAGCAGTCATACAAGTATACAGTGCCTTTATAATTGTTCGATGAGATTTCACACCTTTTGCCATCATTTAATGTAATCAGCTGTTCCCATTGGATAGGTTCTTGCCACACAACCAGTTAGAATGAATGCAGGCAAGAGTCAGGAATTACTTCTAATAAGAAGTTATCTTAACTTGCACATTCAATAGGGTAACTTTTAACCTCTCTTTTAGAATTTAAGTAAAATTTTCATTACACTTCAATATTTCAAGGATGAGTATAACAGTATATGTACTGCTTCCACTTATGCCAATAACACTTCAGTAAACAGTCTTTCTGAGGGTCTGTGCCCAAAAAATTCATCACTCTGCAGCCAGCCTGGTAAGGAACCTAATTTTCACTGGGTCAGTCTGAATAATTTCTGGTGTGTTGTGTTAACTTATCTGATCTAACCAGTTTCTCTTCCCCAAGCTGCCAGTCTTGCCCCAAGCTCCCTAGACCCTCCACAACAAGAGATTGTATTTCTATTTCCTATTGTTGCTCTTAATGTCTTCAGAATAGGGCTTTAGGTTTCTGACATTAAGAGATTATTGAGAAAGTAAACTGTGTGTAATAAAAGATTCATGGTTTCCCATATAACTTTTTCTTGTCATACTTTCTGTATAGAAATGTTCTTTTTTTAGGGGGTTAGGGTATTCATTAAATTTAGACTAAAACATAAAAACAAACAAAATAAATGACTAAAAATTGAAACAATGATTTTAGCAAAGTAACAGGATATAAAATAAATCTACATAAAACATCAGCATTTCTATATATCACCAACAAATCTCTGCAAGAAGAGATAGTAAGAGATACCTACCTCATTTAAAATAACTGTAGACAACATAAAATACCTGGAATTATACCTGCCAAGACAAACCCAGGAGCTTCATGAACATAATTATAAAATACTTTTTATACAAATAAAGTCAGATTTCAATAATTGGGAAAATATTAATTGTTCATGGGTGGGCAGAATCAATATTTAAAAAATGACAATTCTACCTAAACTAGTCTACTTATTCAATACCATCCCAATTAAATTACCAAAAAAATTATTTTGTTGAGCTAGGAAAAAAAATAACAAAATTCATTTGGAAGAACAAAAGGTCAAGAATATCAAAGGAATTAATGAGGGAAAAAAATGTAAAGGAAGGAGGTTTAGCGGTACCAGATCTCAAACTGTATTATAAAGTGGTAATTATCAAACTGTCTGGTACTGGCTAAGAAATAGAAAGGTCAATCAGGGTAGACATGCAGTACACAGTAGTAAATTATTATAGTAACATTGTGTTTGACAAATGTAAAGATTTAAGCTTTTGAGATAAGAATTCTCTATTTGGTAAAAAATTATTGGGAAAACTCGAAAGCAATCTGGCAGAAATTAGGTATAGACCAACATTTTACGCCATTTACCAAGATAAGGTCAAAATGGACACATGACCTAGATGTAAAAGGAGATATAAGAAAATTAAAAGAACATGGAACATATTACCTATCAGACTTATGCATAGGAGTAGAATTTATAAATAAACAAGAGATAGAGAGGATTGTGAGATGTAAAATGGATAATTTTGATTGCACTAAATTAAAAAGATTTTGTACAACTAAAACCAATGTAGGCAAGATTAGAAGGAAAGCAGAAAATTGGGGGTGGAGAGATTTCATAGACAGTTTCTCTGATAAAGGTTTCATATCTCAAATATATGGAGAACTTTGTCAAATTTATAAGACTATGAGTCATTCCCCAGTTGATAGTCAAAGAATATAAACAGACAGAAGAAATCAAAACTATCTAGTCATATGAAAAAATGTTCTGAATCACCATTGATTAGAAAAATTAAATTAAAACAGCTTTGAGATATCTCACACCTATCAGATTGGCTAAAATCATAGAAGGGGAAATGACAACTGTTGCAGGGGATGTGGAAAAGTTGGGACACTAATACACTGTTGGTGGAACTGTGAACTGATCCAACCATTTTGGAAGCAATACGGAATTATGCCAAAGAGTTATAAAACTGTGTATACCCTTTGACCCAGCAATACCACTGTTAGGTCTATTTCCTAAGGGTAAGGAAAAAGGAAAAGAACCCATATGTTCCAAAATATTTATAGCAGTTCTCTTTGTGGTGGCGAAGAACTGGAAATTGAGGGGATGCCCATCAACTGGGGAATGGCTAAATAAGTTGTGGCATATGATTGTTATGGAATACTACAGTGCTGTAAGAAATGATGAGCAGGTTGATTTGAGAAAAACATGGAAAGACTTACATGAAATAATGCGGAGTGAAATGAGTAGAACCAAGAGAACATTGTATCCCATAATATCAATATTGTTCAAAGAATAACTGTGAACAACTGAGTTATTCTGAGTATTATAAATATTCAAATTAACTATAAAGGACCTATGAAGGAAGATGCTATCTACCTCCAGAGAAAGAACTTATAAATAGAAGTGTGCATAGTATGGTTTTACATATACATATATACATATGTTTATGTGTGTGCGTGTATATCTGTATCAAATGGTGGCCTTCTCTAGTGTGGGGTGAGGAGGAAGGGAGGGACAGTTTGGAACTTAAAATGTAACCAGAAAAAATTTTTTTTTAAAAAAGGACATTACTAAGGAGTAATAGTAATTATTGCCCTTCTGTGGCTTGCAAAACAGATGGATCGGTATTTTAAATAGTTGTGAGAAGGTTTTCCCAGAGGCTCTGCCTATCCTAGGCTGCCCTCATAAACAAGGTATTAGTTGATAAGGGTTTGAGGTAGACCAGGAATACCGTATTTGCATTTTCCCAAGGAACTAAAAATATCACTCAAAACAGTGACACTCCAATAATGGTATGACAATCCTCCTCGAGGGAGGATTGATATTTTGGGGGGGGGGGCGGGGAGGACATCGGCCAAAGGTTAGCCTGAATTTGGTTGAATAGTGGTGACTGTCTCTGCCTTTAAGAAGTTCAATGAAGGAAGCTTTTGTGCTCTTGGATGTTACCTCCATAGTAAGACCCTAATCATCCAATTTCAATTGTGAAAGAGAAGTCATCTTTCCAAAGAAAAAATGGGCTCTGGTCCCTCTTGGAAGTGGTGTACCATCGATGCCTTGACTCTGTTGGAAAGAAAGGTAGACACTGGAGCCCAGAGCTTGAGCCATGTGGACAGTGTTGTTGATAAAGTCATTACGTTGTTACAGACAGTGTGCTGGGTTAGTGGATGGAAAGTATCTATTTGCAACCAAAACTTTAAAACACTTAAATTTAAGACCTAAGGTTGAAAATAATTAGAAATCATCTGTCCTTGATATTTTCTAATGTCTTTATGCACTGTGTTATATGTATTTATTGAAATATTATGTATTTATAATGTATCTTTCATATATCATTGACGTATATTAAAGCAACAGTTTAGGTAAGATATTCAGGATTCAAGAGTTAGAATTTAAATATCTTAAGGTGATTGAGTAAGTAATCTTGGAAGGTTATTTTTAGGCTTGGGATTCTAGGACCATAAAAATGAAAAACAGATTTTTAGCCCTTTCTTTAGCATTACAATAAATTGTGCTTTTTTCCACTGTAGAATGAAAAGTGATTGAGTATTATTACCATAACACAAGAAGGCTATGCTAGCCTAGTTTTAGGTATGTCATCACCAGGAGAGAGACCTATCCCACTTGGTGAATCCATCAAAAACCTGTTAACATAGCCATAGCAGTCCATGGAAGCATTGATCAGGAACTCTTCTGAGAAAAGAAATACAGTATGAGCCAACCAAATGAGCCCTGGTCCTGAGGGGTCGTTTCAGGAGTCACTCTGGTTTCAAGTTTCTAATGAGTCCTTCATTGGGCCCAAGGTAGCCAGTAAGAGGAAAAAGTAGAGTTGGCTAAGAATAATCTTCCCTGTTTTGAGTGTTAATGAGATAGCTTCTTCAAAGTTGAAAGTTCTGCTTATCTCAGAGCTCTTGTGAGAAGAAGAGGTGTGGGCTTCATACGGTTCCATTTGGTTTGGGTTCCCCATCGATTCTGAGCTTAGTCTAAGCATAACTGTTCATTCTTGAAGGGATAGTATTGAAAATACAATTATTAATGGAAATATGTTTTGCATGTGTGCACATATATTATCTATATCTAATTGCCATCTCAGGGAGGGAGAAAATTTGGAACTCAATTTTTAAAAAAAAAAACAAAAGTTAAAAATTGTTTTTATATGTAATCTGAAAAAAATAAAATATAAAAATTTTTCACCAAAATAAAAAAGGGAAATATAATTATTCCAGTTGGAGTGTATTGTCTTGTGTGAGATGCTGGAATGCTAAGCATTCCCTTGAGATTTTGAGCAGAGATGGTCTGTGTACCAACCATCAGGTAGAAAACTTATCTGCACAGATATCTCCATAACTCAAAGCCAGATCTCTTGCAAAGCAGGATATGGTTTGTTTGGGGATACAGTTAGGAACAGACACGTTTTTCTTTATTTGAAGTACATTTTCACACATCACCTTGTGAATGTTTAATTTGGTTATGTCCCGTGGTTTCTCAAGGTATGTGGGATTGTACTGGGCAATTTTGATGCACCTTGTATTTCTTTTCCAGTTAAATTTAAGAGGAAGACAACATAATGTTGTGGATAGAGGCCTGACCTTGGGGTTAGATCCTGCGTCAGAGCCACACTGGCTGTGTGACCCTGGGCAAATGTCATCACCTCTCAGTGCCTGGGAAGTCCTCCAAGACTCCAACTTGAAAAGTAGTTTCTCATCTGTTTTGGTGGAGGCAATGAAATCACGGGTGGGGCCCCACAAGTGAAATGCATCTCGATTCTCAGTTTGGGCATTGTTTTCTCACTTAATTGTATTGTGTTTGAAGGATATAATCATGCTTTTTTTTTTTTTTTTTTGGTTTTTAACCTTAGGTAATCAGTTTAAAGACCTTTCGGATTGAAGAAGTGGCCCTAAATGAAAGAATTTGCCTCCAAGTGAGATCACAGTGCAGTGTGTCGAGCACCCATCCTAGTGATGCTGTAGAAATGTGCACTGTACCCCCAGAAGGTAAAATTGTCTATAAAATGGGGCTAATCCAGTGAGTCCCTTCCAGCTTGGAATCCTGGCAACGGTACAGGGTCTAAGAGAGAAGAGACAGGGAGCCAAGGCCCAAGACTTAAGTTCAGGACCCAGGAGGGGCCAGAAAAGGGCAGGAGGAAACAGAGGAGGTGTAGGGTATATGCAAATCAAGCAAAGGGGCAAAGGACCTCCTCGGGAATTTGTCATCAGCAGTGGCTAAGTGCTGCAGAGACGGCCCATGGAGGATGAGGGTGGAGGAAAAGCCACTGGATTTGGTGATTGGCTTCTCATTAATGACGTTAGAGAAATGAGTTTCAGTAGAGAGGTGTGAGACTCGAGGAGTGAGTGGGTGATGAAGAGGGCATTTTGGAAACAAGACACTTAGAACAAAGAGACGCCAGAAAAGAGCCAGTAGGTAAAGAAGGAGCAATGGGGTCAAATGAGGGTGATTTTTAAATTGGGGAGAATTGAGCATTTTTCAAGGCAGCGGAGGAGAGAAGATCACGTGGACACACACACACACACACACACATATGGGGAGGAAGGGAAGATGGCACAGAGATGAAGCTCTGCCTTCCTGACTGGCCTGTACCCTATGCTCAGCCACTTTATTGATCTCAGTCCCAGAATCCTTCAACCGGTCACCACCCCTGCCCTGCCAATCTCTAATTCTGCCTAACCCCCACCATCCACTTTTTCTACTCCTAGCCTGCCAAGTCTTGCTAGAGAAAGTTCAAAAGTGCGGATTGGGGCCCCTACGAATTCATGCTCTCTGCTAGCTTGGCCTTCACAGCTGTTTCGCAGTCTTTTGGCTCATCTCTTATCCAATATCTAGTATTCTTCAGAGGGATAATTCTAAAGTGTTTGTATTCCTCAAAGCCCCACCCTACTGTACACTCAGTTCAAAGTAGAATTGAATTAGATTGCTGTATTGGGAAGATGGAGTCCATATATAGGAACTCCTTCAACTCTCCTGCTCTATACCTTAAACTAACGTGTACTCTGCACATCCTCTTCTCTGTGTCCTCCTATTTCAGAGGAAGTGGTAGGTTTCCTGCTTTCTAAGCCTACACCTGCCATGTATTATTGGTTTTTCAATTTCCCTATTCACTGGTTTGTTTCTCTTGTCTAAAAACTTCGGTACTCTGCTGTCCTTAGGACAAAACCTTCCCTCCATGCTGCTATTTCATTTCACTCCTTCTTTTTGCTGTCAGAGTTCTTAAAAGAAATAGTGTTCCCCGGTTTCTCATCCCTCTTGCCCTTCTGTCCTCACTACTCTATTTGCAACTGCTCTTTCAAAAGTTACCACTGGCTACTTTCCCTCCAAGTCAACTGCATGTATTCTGTCTGCATTCTTTTTGACGTGTTTGTAGCATTTGATGCCTAAGTACTCTCTCCTCCTCTGGATTTTGTGATTTTGGCATCTCCTGCTTCTTTTCTCTAGCCACTTCTTTGTCTCTATTGTTGGCTCCTCATCTTCTTCTCTTTTTTTCTTCTTTCTATAGTCACTCCCTTGGAAACCTTATCTGCTTCCAGGGCTTATACTATCGTTTCTGTGGAGGTGACTCTTCAGTCTTTATTTCCAGCCCCAACGTCTCCAGAGCTTCATTCAGGTTCACATTTTCACCAGCCTAGTAGACATTTCCAACCAAATCTCTTGTCTTTCCTGATTTCTCTAATTTTATTAATGGTAATACTATCTCATTTACTCAGGCTCAAAACCTGAATCAAATTTGACTCTTAACTCTCTCCTGCTAATATTTACTCATTGGGCAAAGACCAATGGATTTTTTTTTTGTCTTGGCACCGTGTCTTACATCATCCTCCTAGGCTTCAGTTTGCTCACCTTTAAAGTGAGGGAATTGGACCAGATGGCAATACTTTGAACTAATAAATGAAGAGGCTAGGCTGACTCTGGCCTCTAAAGTCTCTCAGACGTAAACAGCCTGTGGTCATATTTATGGTAGTACTTCCAAAGTTTACCAGGCTTAACTCAAGGCCTTTCTAGCCCAATCTCACACACATTAGTTGATGCTATCATGTTAGTGGGTGAAAATGGCTTCATGTAGGTTTGCATTTTAACACAATGACTTAACCCAAGGGATTCTACTGCCAGGGCCTCAGTGGCCTCTGGTGGGCTAGTGGGACAGATGTCATTCAAGTCCACTACATTTATTAAGTACTTGCTATGTGCCAGGCACTGTGCTAAGCCCTGAAAATGACGATCCCCCTTTTAAGGAAGTCGAATTCCCCTGGGGACTTGCAGGAGAACACGTGCACAGATAAGCATGATGCAAGAAGGCAAAGAAGAGGCAGGCTTTGGAGTCAGTCCAGCAGCATTTAGTAAGTGCCTACTGTGTGCCAGGCACTGGGCTAAGTGCTGGGGATTACAGAGAAAGGCAAAACCAGTCCCTGCCCCCTCAAGGAGCTCACATTTTAATGGGGGCAGCAACGTGCATACAACTGTGTACAAACAAGAGATAGTTATAGGATAAATTCCTCTCAGAAGGAAGAAGGACTGGGAAAAGCTTCCTGTAGGATGTCAGACTTTATAAGAGACTTGAAGGAAGCCAGGAGGCATGGGAGACAGCCAGAGCAAAATGCCTGGAGTTGTATCCCGGGGTTCTGTACTGGGTCGTGGAGTACTCGGAGGCCAGTGTCATTTGGATCAGAGAACTTGGAGGGACTAGAAAAGTCAGAAGGAACCAGGTTATGAAAGATTTTCAAAGCTCAATGGGAGATTTTCTGTTTGATCCTGAAGGTCACAGGGAACCCCTGGAATTTAGTGGGAAGGAGAGGGGCATGGCAAACTGCAGTAGACCGTTCAGCATCCCAGCATTCACTTCTGTGGTTCACATGTAGTCGGGCTTGCCCCAGCCTCGAAAATTTCCCTGCAGCGAGATGATCTTACATTTAGCAAAGTATGAAACTTGAATTACAAGAAACCCTGCAAAGGAAATTGCCATCTAGAAGCAGGATTTTAGAACCTCTTCCTAGGTTCCTGATCTCTAAATAATTCGTGGTGGAGCCATGATTTCATCAGAAATTCACAGAATCTTGGAGCTGGAAGGGATCTCTGGCCATCTAGTCCAGTCTGCAGAGGAACCCCTCTGGTAGCATCCAGTCTTTGCTTAACAAATTCAAAGGAATCCCATTGTCTCACAGGCAGCGCCTTCCACTTTCCAAAGCGGATTGTTTGAAAGGTTTTCTGCACATTAAGCTTGAGGGTCCTCCTTTACTTTGACCCCCGGCTCCCAGATCTGCCCTCTAGGGACGATATAGAACAAACTGAATCCCAGTGAGCTTTGAGTGGTCAATACTGTGTCATTTGTAAAAGGGGCATTTGGAGGAGGACCTTGCCGTGGATTGTGAATCCTCCTTTTGTTTGGGCTGCACCAAGGAGAGCTTCTCTGACTGCTGAGGGCCTCACAGGGACTTTATATACCTCCCTCCATTCCATTTCAACACCAACGATTCTGACAGCTTGGTTCAACCATCTGCTAAGTGCTGCCATCAGTCACAGTCTTCTGTGATTTCTATGTCTGTGGGGGAGCTGCAGTAGCTGAGGAGAGCCTTCGGGCTTTAAAATAATCAATAAGAAGCACAGGGGAATCTTGCTTTTACTCCCCTTTCAGCCAGTTGGGTATCTGTAAAGATGTAGTCAGGAGTGGGGGGGGGGGAGCCTACCTATTCCCCTCCCTTATTTTAATCAAGATAACACTGAGGGTGTTACCCAGGGCATCCTCGTAAAGATTTTATAGAAATGGGAAAGAAAGCATATTGGTCAGTAGTTGCTAATGACTTCTAGGTCACTCTTTCCCCCTTCCTTTTCTGCTCTTCCTTTCCTGTAGAGATCCTGAAAATCATTCCTAGGTGCCATTAAAATGGCCGCCTCCAGCCCAGATTTCCTTTTCTTTGAAGTACTCTAAGTATTCCGCCCTTTTTCTTATCTCAGAATATCTTCCAGTGGGATCCATTGCTGCTGAGGTGATAGATTCCACTTGTGTTAGTTGTGTTGTTAACAGTGAGAATGGGGGGGGGGGGGGGGGGGGGGGGGGGGGGGGGGGGGAGGAAGGATTGAGAGAGGGAGGGAGGTAGAGGGAAAGAGACCAAGAGAGAACATTATAGGCAAGGAGCCAATTATCACCTTACATAACAGCAAACACCCCCTCCCCCCCAATCAAGGGTTTGCTTGCTGTGATGAGCCCTTAGTCAGAAACTGAAAGACCAGCATGAGCGCCATCTTTCTTCAGCCTGTTCAAGGTTTTCTCCTCTTCATTGGTGCCCGTGGTTACTTATTGTTATCGCTCCTGGAATTGGGGTGTGGAATGTGACAGGGCAGGTGTCCAGAAATGGAGCAGCGTTGAGAAGACCCCAAATTGGCCTCAGCCAGGCTACATTCTAGTTAAAGTGATTAGATGATGAGATACATAATAAAGTTTGAAATACTTGAAGCTGCAGGACTTTTTCTTTGCCCTGGCAGCAGCTAACTCTCCCATCTTCCCCTTCCTTTTACCTCAGCCCCCTGCCAGGCCCCCTTGGCCTTATTTGCTTAGCTGGCTTTTCCCCTCTCAGAATGGGAGAAAGCAGGAAGCTCGGTATGGAGCCCAGGCCAGGGATTGAAGGGAAAACTTAAGATTAGGGTTTGATTTCCTCCTTCTCTGTGCCTCCTTTTCAGTAGGAAGTGAGGCTCTTTGGGCCCCTGAAGAGTAATGATTCAAAAACCACTTGCTATGTAACTTCTTTGGTTATTTAGGCATCTGCAGTGACCCCATTTAGGGCCACTCATGGGCAACAAGCTGGTCTTCTCAAGATCAAGCGGTGGAAGAAAGCATCGGATAGGGTATGGGTCATATCTGCACTGGGCAGAATTTTCTGGGGGAGTGGGGGAGGGGAGAGAAAGGGGGGGCAGGAATGGGGTGAGAAAAGACTACAGGCTGACCTTCAGGTTAAGAAGGTAACTAGGTGGTGTAATTTGAAGGGAGTCCAAAGGACCATTTGTGCCCCACCCCCCAGCAAAAAATGAAATCAACCCTACCAGGCTTGAAATTGTTAGTCCTTATTGTCATTCTTTTGGCTTAAACCATTATTTCTAGAAGGCTTGGGTTAAATGTTGGGAAAACTACCAGCTTAGCATATTAACCCATTAGTAGTAGTTAACAAACACATGGATTTGGTTTTGAACGGACAGAACAACTGAGGAAATATGGCAACCAGCAAGTAGTGGGAGGAGCTTCAATGAGCTTGGCTGGCAGGTACAGAAACTGTCACATCTAGGAACTATTTTCTGCTACAGCATTAAAGCAAGGGATGGGGACTGATAGCTTGCTGTAGCTTAGCTGGGGATCAGAGAGCCCTCGGGCCAGCTGGTTCCTGAAGCCGGCCTCCTCCCTTATGAGTAGAGGAGATGCTCTTAAGATGCAGGAAATGCTACCCTCAACTTTCAGGCCTTCCTCCACTGGAGTGCTGGAAGACCCTTGTGTGTAGGAAGGGAAGAAGAGCCTGTGACCCTGGTGGGCCCCTCTGAGCTGGGGGAAGTCGGAAGGTACAGAAAAGGAGGGAGAGGGCAAATAAGACAAGCTACTTGTGACTGGAGCTGAGGCTGACCTCCAGTTACTGGCTTTTACTCGTGGGTCTGAGTACAGAACACTAATTAATAAGAAGAAATAATAAGAGCTAACATTTCTATGGGGCTTTCGGGTTTGCAGAGTGCTTTACGTATATTATCTCCTTTAATCTTCCCAACAGCTCCACTAAAAAGACTTTTTCCATTTTCTGAGGAAAGGTGGTGAGGTACCTGAGGACGTCATGGTTGGGGATGGTGGGCGGAGGCCAAGGGGGAGGCGGTGTTCTAAGCCTCCCTGGCCTCTGGTTTTCCAGGTGACCCAGAGTCTGCTGTAACAAGACTGCAGTGTATTTGGTACAACCTGCGCCAAATGAATTGTACATGGCTCCCCGGGAAGAAGGCGCCTCCAGACACAAACTACACTCTGTACTACTGGTAGGTGATGACAGGCTGTGCACGTGCCTGTGAAAGCAATAGGAAGTGCCCCACACATACACACCAGCACCCGTACACACATACCCCAAAGGCAATTTCTAGCAGATAGGAAGCCTGAGCTAATCGTTAGCTCAGCCTCCGTGGAAGATGCATCTCAAGGGGGCTCCTCATAGCTGAGCTCTTCCCTTTATCCAAAGAGCTCCATTGAGTCTCTCTGTGGCCCCCGATTCTCTGATTTGTCCACTTGGTGCTAAATTGGAGGAAGATAGTGGATTTGATTTAGCAAACGTTCAGACTGTCCCTCACCTTTGATTAGAATGTCACCTTTTCATTGGCTTTGCTTGCCACAGAGCTTGGACCTGAGTAAGGTCCACGCCTGCTCTGTCCTCCCTGCTGTTTGTAAAAGCTACTGTCGGCTATTTGGCGAAGAGATTCAGAGACTGGCATTGGTTCCTGCTTCCCCGCCTCTGTGTGGGCTCCCTACCTCTGGCATAGGAACTTAGCCCCTGCTTATGACACTACCCTTTGATCAGTGGACCCTCACCCCCTGCCAGGCACACCAGAAGAAAAGGGGACAGAAAGTTCTTTGGCTGGGGGAGGAGGGAAAGGAGAGGAGATTAGTGACTGCCCCTCCACCCCCTCCCCCATTGGAAAACTGGCATCAACCTAGAGGATGCAGGGATGTCCTGAATTTCTTCGGAGTTGATCTGCCAAGTGCAGACTCTGCAGGCCAGTGAATCTAGGGAGATACAGCAGTCATCATCCTGGAAAGGTTGGGAATCTTCAAATGCTGTCTTCCGTTTGTATGTTGAATACAAATTTTCTTTAAAATGAAGGAAAATAATCCCTCTAAACCAATATAACCACATAGCCAGAACTCTAATTTAAAATGTATTTTACCAAACCAATGATGAGAACAATCTGGCCATACTTCGTTCTTAACACTATGTATATATTTCAAAAGAAACGTGAGATTTGCAAATTTAGAGAATCCACCCCAAATGTTCACATGGATTGTTTGTGCCCGACCTGTGGTAGAACATTCCAAGCTTGCTCTGGTCTGATGAGTCACAGTCGGACACACTGTAACTTGACTCTAGCACAGTGATGTCATTTTGGTCCTTTTTGAGAACAAAGGACAACAACCAATGTATGTATTATGTAGCTATAAGTATGTATACATATATACGTATATACATATGTATACATATATACATGTACATATATACGTATATACATGCGTATAAATATATACATATATATTTATGTATCCATATAGTTTTTGTCCTTATGTAGTCCTAGCCAGCGTGAACATTGGTTTTCTGGTTCTCCTTCATTTTTGTTATTTTGCATGTCTCTCCATATTTGGAAATGGAAAGTGGAAAACCACACTAAAAGACAAAAGACCTCAGATCAGTGCAATGATAAGTCTTGACTTGGGAGGACTAATGATGAAACCTACCTTCCTCTTCTTGGTAGAGAGATGGTGGACTACAAATGTGGAATAAGGCATACACTATCAAACATGGCTAAGGTGTTGGTTTGGTTTGACTATACTTCTTTGTTAAGGCAAAAAGGAAGGATTCTATTGAGAAGTGGTAATAGTTGTTTTTAAACATCTCTCAGCTATTTTGGGGGGATGTGGCATACTAAGAGACCAGTGGGGCTTTGCATATAGTAGAGGGCATGCTGTGGAGCAGTGGGAGATACAGTAGCTTCTGTGGAGACAGATTATGGAAGGCCTTGAAAGCCAGGGCATGGGATTTGGATGTGAATTCATACACATTAGGAAAATTAGTCTGGCAGCTCAAAGTGGGATAAGTTGGAAGATGGGGAGAGACTAGCGGCAGAATGACCACAGGAAGCTATTGGAGTAATCCAGGTATGTGGTGAGATAACAGCCTGGACTGTTATCTTAGGGTGATCTTAGTGGGAATGGTGATGGGAGCTAATCTAAGAGACATTTCAAAGGAAGAAAGGGTGGGACTTTGTGATTGGATTTCAAGGGGGAAAGAAAATGGCGATTCTAAGGTTCCTAACACGGGAGATGAGAAGAGTGGCGGTGATTCTGCCAGTGCCAGAGATGGAGACATTTCGAAGAGCCAGTGAGAGGGAAGGGAGAATGTTGGGTTTGAGGTTCTTGTGGGCCATGCAAGTGGCAGTGGAACTGTAAATGTGGGACAAGAATCAAGATGAAAAATCAGAGCCAGTGATACTTGGGGGAGTCAGCAGCAGAGAGGTGTTGGCTGAAGGAGGGAGTGAGGTTCCCAGGAATGATTCCAGAGCCAAAGGCTCAGGACTAGGCTTTGAAGGCTGCTCTGGGAGGAAGGACAGTTAGCAGAGGAGGAAAGGAAGGAGGAGAGCTAGGAAAGACGCCGAGGGAGGAGGGAACACTCTGGGCTCCGGAGGCTGAACTTAGAAGCAGCACACAGCATAGCTCCCTCACACTTAACTTCTCTTCTGCTGCATTTCTTAAGCACCAGCAGTGTGCCAGGCACTGTGCCTTCAGGGAGATCCCAGTCCAGGAGTGGGGAGTCTGCAGCCTCGAGACCACACGTGGCCCTCTAGGTCCTCAAGTGAGGCCAAATCCAAATGGATTTGGTTAAAGGGCCCTACCCCTATCCTAGTCTAATGGGGAAGACAACCTGTAAATCTCTAGCTACACACAGGCTAGGGACAGAGTAGATGGAAAAGGGAGAGTTATTTCACAAGGCAGAGCATGTTCATTACTGGGAACTCTTGTGAGTGAGTAAAAAGCTATGCCTCAGGCAGAATTTGACTCTTCATTTTCCACTGCAGATTGTGGTGAGGTTGTTTTCCTTCCTAGAATGTACCTGGAAGCTCCTTCTAAAAACAAGTTGGAAGGATAAATTTGGCCTTTCTCACAGCACATCCTGCTTTCCATAGACATGTACCTAAACTTCAGCCTGTCCCAGATTTTGAAATTTCATTTAGACAATTTCTAAAATGGGTTGTCTCCATTTCTCTACCTTGTAGGTATAGCCCTCTGGAAAAAAGTCTCCAGTGTACAAACTACTATACGGAAGGTGAACTCATTGGGTGTTCTTTTGATCTGCTTAAAGGAAAAGTTTCAGGTTCTGAAAAAATTCAAATAATGGTCACAGATACAGCTGGAACAATTAGACCCTCCTATAATATCACTTTCTTAAATTCTGGTAAGTTATACCTCTTAAAAGCTGAGGAAATAATTACTGCTCAAATGTCTTCGTTTCATTCCTAACATAAGAATTGGCTTTCTCCATTGACAAGTGGACTGGACTTCTTTAACCTACTCCTTGGTAGATCCTTGTCATGTGGGATCCCGTAAGGGCATGCTAGTCCAGTCAAGGATGTGGGATCATCTCTACCTGCCACGTAAAGCAGTAATGAGCATATATGTCATTGAACACAAGCTGGATTTGCACAGGGAGCCCCAGGCCCAGTAAATGAGCAGCAGGTGGTGGTTGCTTCAGCGCTCCTCCCCAGATATCCATGTGGGAGCCAAAGACGGCCCAGCCTAAGGTCTTAGACATGGAAGTGCTGCCGCCAGCCAAGTGAGCCACCATGTTGGCTCAAAGCCCAAGTCAGCCTTTTCTTTCCATGGATATTAATGGTAAAAGAAAAGAAAGTCTTTGGCTACTAATGGCTTCTGATTGTTTTCTCTTACCTGAATGTGCTCCCCACTAGTAAGGTGCTCAGGCTTAATCAGAGCTGACTGTTGTAAAACTGAATGGGCTAAGAACCAAACCTGGGGCTTCCTGATATTATAATCCTTTGGCTGGTCATTAGCATGATCATGTGACAGTTGGGAGACTCTTTCTCTTCCACAGTCTTACATGCTCTCCCAGCATCACGTGGGCTGAATTGGATCTGTGCTAAGGGCTTAGATGTGGACCACATGTGCTGTTTTTCCAACAATCCCAGTACAAAGAGGGATGCGTGCCACCAAACATCAACATCAAAGTGACCTTTCGGCATCCCTGCCCTTGTATGTGCACACTGAACCTAAAAGAAATCCGGAGTTACTCTGTATTCTTGATTTCATTTCTACATTGCAGTGAAACCCGAACACCCTGTCATAACAGCCCTCTCCTTCCAGAATGACAGCCTGTATGTGGAATGGGAAAGTCCAGAAAACTTTGAGAGCAATTGCTTAGTTTACCAGGTGGAAGTCACTGACAACAAGCCAGAGTTATACAGAGTAAGTTGGTTTGTGTTTCATCGATGTGGCTTGAGCACTTTTGAGCTAGCATTGCCTTTTAGCTTATGATAACCAGAAACATAAATAAAAGTGCATCTCAGTGTTGTACACTGCTTTGCTGCCCTTTGGAAATATTACCAGAAAGGCTTTTCTGAAGGTACGTTTGGTGGTTGTAATGGGCAGGGGACACAGTCTAAGAATAGAGGACAGGCAATTCAGAGTTCTCCTTAAGTTGGGTGACGTTAAGCAATCAAACATGGTAGTATTTGTGAATGGACCTCGATGGGTTGTAATCTTCTCAAAAGGGCACTAATATGTCCCGGGGAGCGGTGCCAAGAGTAATGTTGGTGCATGTGTCCCCATTTCACTTCAGCAAACACTTGTTGAAACTCCAATAGAGGAAAGATATTTGTCCTCTTCTCTCAGGAATGGAAGCTTGCTAAGGACGGGGATTATTCCACCTGTGCCTTGTCTCCCCAGTACTTGTACCTAGTAGGTGCTTAATAAATGTTGTATTTGAATTGAAGATATTGCTGGGAATTGAGTAAATCCTCATATTTGATTTATCAGTTTGGTGGCACGAGGAATAGAGCAGTAGGCCGGGAGTCAGGAAGACCTGAGTTCAAATCCTACCTCAGACACTAACTGTATGACCTTGGGTCAGTCCTTCAACCTCTGTTTGCCTCAGCTTCCTCAACCGTAAAATGGGAATGGTAAGAGCACCTACTTCTCAGGGTTGTTATGAGGAGCAAGAGCTTAGACCAATGCCCGGCACGTAGTAGGCAAGGCGCTTAATAAATGCTTGTTCCCCTTTCCCTTCTCAGTGTGCCATGTAACAAACACAGCCTCTTGCTAGTATCAGCTCATTGTCAGAGCAGTTGGAAACAGGGTTTGCAGGAGAACGACTAAACCTTGACAGCATATAACTAGGAGACAGCTGGCCTGAGCTCACAGGTGGAGATGTGCAAATGGGGACATCTGTTTGGAACTGAGCTGAAACATAACCAGAGCTCAAATTACAATCCATAGCATTCTACATAAGGAAGATGGCAGCTGGGGGCTGGTGGGGAATCCAAGGCAAAGGATCCTGATTTGGGGATTCTTTGTACTTAGTGAGAGTTTGGGGCAGTCATACATTTCCCTGATCCCCTCTCAATACCTCTGCAGTTCATGGGGGGCACTTTGTGTTCTGCCCTGAGAGATTGTACTACATAGAAGATAGAGAATTGGCCTGGAAGTTAGGAAGACCTAGGAAGTCCTGAAGCAAATCACTCCACCTTCTTAGTGCCCCAGGCAACTTTTTCAGACTGTTAGTCACCAAGAAGATGCAGAAGGAATTTCCATACCAGGAGTTTCCTTCAGAGATGAAATTCTCTGTCTAGACGAGGGCTTCTTAAACTTTTTCCCCTCACGACCCCTTTGCACGTTTAGGCAGTGTTTGTTGGCGCTGTATGGACATGACGTCATGCACAGCGCAAAGCAAAACACACATGCTGTGTGTTCAGAACCAAGGCTGCGGTGAAGTTGCTCATGCAACATGGACGAGTGCTGCCAGAAACACCTCAGATTCATTGCACATTTCATTTTAATTAATTTTTGGTCATTGCACGTTCAGAAACCTTTTACTGTTGCCAAATTTTTCACAACCTCATGTGGGGTTGGGACCCACAGTTTAAGAAGCACTGGTCTAGACCACCCCCCTCCATTACCCCACCTCCAGCTAAAGTTGAACCTTGTGCTGACTTTACTGTATCACATATTGTAAGCTTCTAGGAGTGTGGGATTTGGAATTGGACGACATGGGCTTAAATCTCAGACTGGCTACTTCCTCTGAGTTACTTAACCACTCTGTGGACCTTGGTTCCTTCCTGTACAAAGTCATATGGTTAGGGTAGATGATCTCTAAGGCCCCTTTGAGCCTGGAAATTCTCTGCCCTTCAGATGTCAGCCCTGGGATGCAGGAGTGCAGAAGGACATCTACCTGGTGTGATGGGATGAGCACTTGGGCATCAGGAAGTCTCTTAGCACTCAGAGTCACAGATTTGGTCTTAAATTCCTCGAACCCAGTTTTTTCGTGTACAAAATAGAAAGAATAATAACATAATGCTTTACGCTCTTTATTTCACGGAGTGGTTGCAAGGAAAGTGGTCTATACAGCTCAAAGCCCTGGAGAAGTAGCAATGGTTTTGATTTCTCCCCCCACCCCATGCCGAAACAGCCAAGAAAACCCAGGCTCAGGGTTGGTGACTTGCCTCCAGTCACTGAGCTTGTCTTACAAGCCTAGGCCTTCCCAAGTACTCTCCATGTTTCCTTTCCACTAAGGCCCAGTGCCAAGATGAATGTAGTCTGCTCCCTTCCCTCCTGGGGGCAGTGAGGGGGCACCACAGTGCATAGAATGCTGAGCCTGGAGTCAAGAAGACCTGTGTTCAAACCCAGCCTCAAACACTGACTAGCTTGTGTGACTCTAGGCAAGCTAGTTAACCTCTAAGTTTCCTCAGTTGTAAGATGGGAGTAATGATAACACCCTCCTCCCAGGGTTGTTGGGAGGATCCAATGAGATTGTTATTTGTAAAGTGCCTGGTATATAGTAGATGCCTAATAAAAACTTGTTCCCACCCCCCACCCCCACCCCTTATAGCCCTACTGAATAGAGTTGTCTGAGCTGAGGAGAATATGTATAACTATAGAGCATAGCAGCTTAACTTGGAATAGTCATTTATCTTGACTTTTTTAAATGTTATGTTTATACTTTTGAGTAACTGGTATAAATGCTTGACATTCTGTCTTTAGCAAATGTTTACCAGCTGCTTCCTCTCCCAAACTACCCTATTGCTTGCTGTGTTCTAATTTCTAGTTTTGCTTGTTAGAATTTTCCACTTTCAGTTCCTTTATTGGGAGGAGGGGGGCATCAGTCAGTTTTTTGTTTAGTGTCCGTAGGAGTAGGGATCCAGGCTGGAATCAGCATGGTGACATTGCCAGGACCACGGCCAGCCCTAGGCAAACTGGGGAAGTGGGAAGTGGCTTAGGATAAAGCCTCCCTTCCCAGATGCTGGGTTCTTTCATGTTCCTTTCACCCATCCCACCTATAAGAATGGTTCTTAAAAATTGACCAATATGATGAATTAAAATGTAAAGAAAAAATAAGACTTAATGTCCTCTTCCTCTGAGTAGGGCATTTACATCTTAACAGTCAGTAAACCCTGGGGCAGCTAGGTGGCACAGTGGATAGAGCACTGGCCCTGAAGTCAGGAGGACCTGGGTTCAAATCTGGTCTCAGACCATCCACTTGACATGTACTAGCTGTGTGACCTTGGGCAAGTCACTTAACCCCGATTGCCTCACTAAAAAAAAAAAAAAAAAAAAGTCAGCAAACCCTAAAGCCAAAGGAATGATATTGATGGTGAAAAAGTAGCATCAGGCATCTTGGGAGAAAGATGGACAGGCCTAGAGAGGCAGAGGTAAATGCACACTTTCCCATATGGCCAGTGTGCCCTTTGGTTTTGTTTGACTCAGCTTATTTGTCACAAGGGAGATTTTTTTTTTCAAGTGTGAAGAATTGGGAGGGAAGGTGATAGTGCTGCCCTCCCTACCCCCCCCAAAAAAGGAGCATCAATAGAACCTTTTTAAAATTCACAAAAGAAAATCAAAGGGAATTGAGAGGGAGTCATGGACTAATAGAGCGGCTTTGAAACTATATGTTGAATCTGTTATATACTTTAAAGAAAAAACAAGCTCTGTGTATTATAGATGCACAGTTTCATAGGTTTCTCTCCTGTATACATAGAAATGTTCATATATGTTGATGTGTGTCAAGGTCAGAATAACAAAAAAAAATTTAATCTTGGAAAAAAAGGAAAGAAAATCTCTTTAAATAACACACACACACACACACACACACACACACATTCTAGCATCAAGGCTTAGCAACTTCTGTAGGGAAGGATCCTCTTATCCCTACACATGACCCCCTGCATGTAGACCAGTGGGGTCAAACTCAAAGAGAAACAGGCTCCACTAACCCATACAGAAGGATCCTGGTGGGTGAATGTTGACTTAAGAAACCACATAGCAACACTATCTCGGGTTTACTGGATTTTTATTTATTTGTTTTTGGTTTTGGTTTTGGGTTTTTTTTGGCTAGGCAATGGGGTTAAGTGACTTGCCCAGGGTCACACAGCTAGTAAGTGTTATGTGTCTGAGGCCGGATTTGAACTCAGGTCCTCCTGAATCCAGGGCCGGTACTCTATCCACTGCACCACCTAGCTGCCCCTGGATTTTTATTTAGTTTAGTTATTCATTTCCCCATTACATTTGAATGTGGTTCAGGCTGCATTGGGAGGGTTGGAGGCCTCCATGTTGACACCCCGATGCAGTTAATCCCTGACTGCAGATACCCCTGGCATGCATATCCTGTCCTCTGGTCTGAAACTAGCTGGGAATTGGCAAAAGAGCCCAGAGATCTGCCTTTTCTCTGCTTACTGCTGACAGGGCTTCTAGACTTTCTAACAGGAGCCTTTTCTCAACGTTTAATCCAAAACAACATAGCTGTGCCTCCCCTATACTTTGGTTCTTGAAACCTTTCTGCAGATTCTAGTGGGCCACATGCCAAATAAGCCTTCCAAGGTTTTCTCTCTGAATCTGTGTCTGGATTTTGGGATGTCTTGCTGTTACGCTACTGAGGATCCTCTGTGTGTTTAATAGGAAGCAACTTTAGCTCTGTGGGGAGAAAGTTTGGGGTGCACCCAGCTATCTCTCTCTCCCTCCCACCGTCCCTCTCTCTCCTTCTCTCTCTCCCCCTTTTCCCCCCTCCCTATGTCTCTCCCTCCTTCTTTCTCCTTCTTTCTCCCTCCCTCTCTCTTCCCCGCCTCTCCCTTTCCCTTCCTCTCTCTCCCTCCCCCCTCTCCCTCTTCCTCCTTCTCCCTCCCTCCTTTCTTTCTCGTTCTCTCTCTCCCTCCCTCCCTTTTTCTTCCTCTCCCTCTCTCTCATTCTCGCTCTCTGTCTCTCTCTCCCTCTCCCCCTCCTTTGCCTTTCCCTCTCCTTTGACTTTGACTCTCATATGTTGTAACTGGGAAGGTTTAGATCATGAACCCTGAAAGGTTCTAATGACCTCACAGTCACTTTTAATATTTTAAAGGCTGAAGAATCCAAAAATAAATGCCACATCTCACAAACGCCTCAGGACCTTCCAGGAAATTCCAAGGTCAGTAAATTCTTCATCATTTCATTTGTTCTGAATGTCACAGACAAATTTGGAGACATTGGGGTGTTTTTCTTCCCTAAAACACCACAAAATCAGGCTCATTTTATCCAGCTTATGATTGCTGATTAGTTGTCTTTATTTCTTCTTCTGAAAGTCAAAGTAAGATATTGAATTGAAATTTGCTTTACTCATGTGAAAACATTCTGCTTAGAAATATGTAACAGAGTCAAATGGTGCCTTTCCCTGTTACACCTGCTTTGATTTTATATTTTAGGATAAAAAATGTTTTGTGAAAGGTGATGTGGACCGTGATACTCTGTACACGGTCAGAGTGAGAGCCAAAGCCAGTAAGTATTGCTTCGAAGATAAAAACCTCTGGAGTGCTTGGAGTCCAGAGAAAAGCATAGGTAAGACAGTGGTGGAAATAAAGAGACCGCCCCCTCACAAGATGCACATAACCACAGCCTTCATTCAGGCCCTCATCCCCTCTTGCGCACCACCTCAAGTCTCTCCCCACTCCAGTTTGTCCACACTGCTGCCGAAGGGACTTTTCTAATGCACTTTCTCTCTGCGGCACTTGAAGTGCTTCACCATCTGATGCCTTCCTAGCTTTCCAGCCTTGTTACATATTACTTCATTCCACATACTCCACAGTCCTGCCTTTCCTGGTCTATTCCTCCAGCTGCCAGTAGGGCCGAGGGCCTTCCTTCCATCTATTCCCCCACACACACTTTGAATCTGATTTTTGTCATATATGTGTTTGTGTGTGTGTGTGTGTGTGTGTATGTATGTATGTACGTATACCTATTTATGTACATGTTGTCTCCTCCATTAGAATGTACACTCCCAGAGGGCAGGAACTGTTTTACTTTTGTCTTTGTGTCCTCAGGACCTGGCCCATAGTGGGCCCTTAGTAAGCATTTGTTGATCGATCCCCACTTCTCCCCCATCTCAGTCAGTAATGACTTCCTGCCTCGCAGTATAGCTATTCATTATCTGTACTGTATTTGTGGCTTAGCTCCCTAGAAGACTATAGACTCAGGGGGCAACTGGGTGATGCAGCAGATAGAGCACCAGTCCTGGAGTCAGGAGGACCTTAGTTCAAATCTGGCCTCAGACACTTGACACTTACTAGCTGTATGACCCTGGGCAAGTCACGTAACCCTGATTGCCTTGCCAAAAAATAAATAAATAAATACATAAATGAATGAATGAATGAAAGAATAGATGAATAAATAGATGAATAAATAAATAAATAAATAAAAAGAAGACAACTCTAGACTCTATAAGGGTAAGAACCAGGTCTTTCCCAGCTTCCAGTATAGTGCTCTGCACATAGTATGTGCTTAATACATGTTGGTGAGTTGACTGAATCAGTATAAAGGATATGGATGGATGCCATCCTGACATGGATGGATGTCTCACTGTCCTCCCTGCAGGTCACTTAGAGCCCTCACACTGCCCCATGGCTGTCCCTACCTGGGCCTGTGTAGTCCTTTATGCCCAGCCCTCTTAAAGTATATACCCCTGTTCTCACCCAGGAAAAAATGGATCTGGGCAAACTTACTATTTGATGGAATCCTACATTGAACCGTCTTATAAAAGAAACAAAACCCAAAACATGTCTCTTCTGCCTTTGGTTTCTTGGGTTCTCTGCTAGACAGCAGTGATTGTTCATCAGATACAGTTAGTTACCCACCTCTGATGAAGGGGGAGAAGAAGAAGATAGTACTTTATCATGCACATAACGCTGTCACAGATCTTCCCATTTGAGGCTAAATACAACCTTGTGAAAAATGGGAAAGAATTGTCTTTGAGAAATGAGTAAACAGGCCCAGAAAAGTTGAGGTGACTTAACCCATGGCTGGGAAGTACATCACAGAGACAGCCTCTTTGCCTGCCTGCCCGCCTGCCTATCTGTCTAACTGGGGGGCCAGGCCCATGCAGCAGATTGCTTCCAAAATGTTTTTACTCTGACTCACGGCCTTTTTACTTTACAGGCCAGAAGCCTGACCCCACGTTTTATACCGTCACATTACTCTCCATCCCAGTCGCCATCTCCATCTCCACTCTTCTCCTGTTGCTGTATTTAAAGAGGTAAAAGAGTTTCCATGACTAGATACCTGCCCATTGTCTGAGGGACAAAACCAGAGAGAGGCCTGCCTAAGTGGCCAGGTTCTCACACAGGGCCCATCCGTGCCAAGGTCACAACTCACAACATCAAATTGTGCTGTTGGACTGGCTAATCCCTTTCTGACCATTAGGCCAGGTCCAATGCCAACAATGGCTCTAGTAACAAATATTTAAGGATGAGATAGGATTGTTGAGCTTGTGTAGAACTAAAGTTTTATCCTAATTTAAAATAGTACTGTGATTTAGAAATGGAGTGGTAAGAAATAGGAAAAGGGAATGAGAAATTAAGGAGGGATGTACTCCTTTCCCAGAGCAGTCTTTTTCAAGTCATTTCAATCAGCAATCCCCTGCCCAGTATATCAGGCCTGAAGAGCCCCTTTAAGGCAAGAGGTCGAAATCAACCCTTCTGCTCATGTGTACTCTTTTGGGGCCGCCCAACCATGCAGAACTGGAAACTCTTGGGACATTCATTTCCCACAGCTTACTTCAAGTAAGTACACCGAATCAACTTCATTACTAGAGAGCCACATCTTCAGAGGCAACTCTATTTAAACTAAGTGGTCTTTTATTATGGGCAGCTAGGTGGTGCTACAGAGGACAGAATGCCAGGCCTGCAGTCAGGAAGACTCATCTTCCCAAGTTCAATTCTGGCCTCAGACATTTACTAGCTGTGTGGCCCTGGGTGAGTCACTTCACCCTGTTTGCCTCAGTTTCCTCATCTGTAAAAAGGACATGGCAAACCACTCCAGTATCTCTGCCAAGAAAGCCCCAAATGGGGTCACGGAGTGTTGGACACGACTGAAACAACTCAACAACAATAGTCTTTTATTAGAACTCTTCACCAAAAACACGTTTCTGTCTTTTTTTTTTTCCTTTAAGACTGAAAATCATTATTTTTCCTCCAATTCCTGATCCTGGGAAGATTTTTAAAGAGATGTTTGCAGACCAGAATGATGACACCCTGGTAAGCATTGACGGTTTGAAGTTAGAAGTGAGTTATTTTATGTTGTTTTGAATCTAAAATCCCAGGCAGCCTTGGGAAGTGGAGCCCTCCAGGTAGGTTGGACCAGACTTCCCTGATTTGTGGAAGATCTGGGATAGAACCAAGGCCTCCGGACTCCTAGCCCAGGGTTCTCTCTGGTATAGCATGCTGCCAATGGCAACTTTCTTTAACTACTTTGGGCATGGTCAAACAGTATCAGTCTGCATCATGTTTGTCTCTAAAGCTTCCATTGTCTGAATGTGTTTTGTTCAGCATTGGAGTAATGTGGTCATGGGTCCTCGTTCAAAAATTATCCAACTGAATTTCTCTCTGCTCTTTGCTTCTTTGTGACGAAGTGGGCTGCTGTCTGTGTTAAGGAGATTTTCTCCTTTTCATTGTAATTGATACTTGCTGATTTAAAAATCAATCCATCTAATGGCAAATCCCATATGTAAATCCTGGACTGGATATGAAAACCAGCCTTACCTAGATCCAAAGTGGATCAGCATGTGGGCAGTGACTGGACCCTCTGCTGTGAATGAGAGGTGATGTGCCTTCAGGCCTCATCAGTGACCCTCCCTAACTCCCTTCCCCATCCCCCTCCTTCCAGGAGGCTGAGCATATAAGCATGTAAGCATATACGAGGGGTCACAAAGATTTTGAAGAATAGGTGTCATAAACATATTTTCATTTTTTCTCAGAATACCAAAGGCAATTAAACTCAATTACAAAGTGAAAAAAAAAAATCAATCCGTCTATCTAGCCCTACTCCCTGGTATCCATTTGTGCCAATTCAAGACTTCCAGTTTTGAAAACGGTGTTTTCTGGGGTTACAAATAACAAATGACCTTCGGATGGCTGCTCAATTTTTAAAGACAGGAAAATGCCGCTTGCTTCATGTGCAGTGATTTGCTTCAGTGTGCAAACAACATGCCAGCTTCTGTGGCTAACCCTCCAGCACACAAACGCCATCTTTGCTTGAGCAGGAAATTCACAGCAAGAGAATGTCCTCCCTCCTGAAAGTTCTGACCTTCAGAGCAATCATAAACTGAAGTTTGGTATTTCAGCATGCTGCCATTATTATCATGTTTATAACACCACAGTGTAAAGGTCCTGCACTGAAAGCCAGCATTATACCTTAATAAAACCCACTTCTAGTAAGGCTCACCCAGGGATGCTTTTCAGTCCTGTGGGGTATTTTAGCTACCTGCTACATTAGGCTGTTGCTCTTTATCTAAATCAGGGTTCTTAACCTGGACTCTGGGACCTTGGCTTTTTTGTTCATTTGTTTTTAAATATTTAATCACTATTTCAGTAGATTTGGTTTCCTTTGTAATCCTCTGCCTTTTAGCTTAGCATTTAAAACCATTGTTCTGAGAAGGGGCCCAGAGGGCTTCCCCAGGTGACAGCCAAGGGCTTGAGTATACCCCAAAAAGGGCAAAGTCAAGAGGCCCTGCTCTAAATGCTGTGTGGTAGCTTCTAGGGGGAGCTAGGTGGTGCTGCAGTGGATAGAGTGCTGGACTTGGAGTCTGGAAGACCTGAGTTCAAATTCAACCTCAGATCCGTCCTGGCTGTGTGACCCAGGGCAAGTCACTTTACCTTGTTTGCCTCCGTTTCCTCATCTGTAAAATGAGCTGGAGAAGGAAATGGCAAACCACTCCGGCATCTTTGCTAAGAAAACCCCAAATGGGATCTTGAAGTGACTGAACAACAGCTTCTAGAAGGATTAGGTTGTGGGTTGGTAGCCTCCTTGGTTTGTTTTAGATTTACTTATATAATTTTAAGATTGAGTTAGCAGGTAGCTCTCAGTTTGAAAAGAATTCAAAGCCTTGCATAGTTATGTTCTACAAAGACACACTCAGTGTGAAACTCATACTGCCAGTAGCTATTGGGCTGCCTGGGTGGAATTTGATATAGGACCTGACTAAGCCTTCCATCTAGTTGGGAGGTGAAGGAGGAAATTTGATTAATCCCGTAATTTGGGAACATTCCAAATGACTTAGTGGATACCAAGCAAGCACAGGTGAATGTGGATTCTAATTACTAGAAACTGATGAAAATGCAGTTTTGAAGGACTCATAATTTAGACAGGAGCTGATGGGTGAGAATTTTGTCTTTTTTCTTGTGGTTTTCCAGCCAGTATGTGTCAGGACAGAGCCCTCTAATCACCCGGCCAACTGGGAAACTAGCTTGGGGCCTGTCTTATACATGGTTAACGTGAGGCAGCTAGATAACCAATGCTACTCTCTCTTCTTCATTTCCCTCCCATCTCATCTTCTTTTTTTCTCACCTGGAAATCTACACTTAAGGAAAGTAAGACCCTCTAGGTAAGAAATGACCTGACCATCATGGAGACTTAAAATCAGAATCACTGTTGGTTAACGCCTGTGCTATCGACTGCCTCGTGTTGGCGCCACCGTTTTCAGGAATTGCTTTTGGTCCTTTGGCTAGAAGGCTCCAGATGGTCCTACTTCATGCCAAGTTTTCTCAAATGAATTAGGGACACCTAGAGGCCTTATCGTAGCACCATTTACCTCAGTTAGCTTTTTGAACAGTGAAAAGAGCACAGGATTTAGAGTCAAAGGATCTGGGTTTGAATCCTGGCTCTGTCACTACCTGTGTGACGTTGGGGAATTCATCCCTTCCCATCCTAGGACTGTCTAGCAAGAACTTGTTGGACTAGATGTCTTCTGAGGTCCTTTCAGCTCTCCAGCCTATGAGTCTAGGGGATCGAATTTCAAAAAGAAACAGGAAAAAAAGGGTTAATGACCAAGTGAACCAGTGGAAGGGAAAAGGCACCACTTTTGCATGAGACTTAGCTCACATTTTGGGAAAATTCCCATTGTGTTTGTCCCTCAGGACAACATGTTTGCCAATATGCAACAGTCTCATGCATTTTTCTCCCTTAATGTTAATTCCAGATCATTCTGTTTCCTTAACTTTCCAAATAGATGAAAGTTTCTTAGGTCAGGAAAAATGCACACATGTTTCCATGCACGCAAAACCAAAAATAAGCATTGACAATGAGTGCCCAGGGAAAGGATGTCACTTAGGAGTAATGGTCTCTTTTTTCTCCTCCTTCCAGCACTGGAAAAAGTACGACATCTATGAAAAGCAAATTAAAGAAGAAACTGACTCAGTGGTGCTGGTCGAAAATCTGAAGAAGACCTCTCAATAAAGTTAATAATTTATTTGGACGTCACATGTGACTACCAGGAAATTTTCTCCCATCCTTCATTAGTTACTTTGAAAATCATTCAGTGAAAACTGAAACCATTGGGCCAGTTATAGTCAGAAGAAGCACATTATCAAGCAGTTTCAGGTTCACAAGTCACGCGCCTAAAAACCCAGAGAGAGGGAAGCAAAAACAACCATATTTTAATATTGAGAGAAACCACTTTCTTGGGAAGCCTACCCAGCCAAAAAAAAAAAAAAAAGAAAGATGATGGCATTAAGGATAGCACATTTAAACTTGTGTGGGTTTCTCTTTCACCATTGAGCACCAGATGGCAGTGTGTTTTTTAAGGGTTTGGTTTTTTGTTTTGTTTTGTTTTTTTGATGTTAAGTTCTAATGTGGGAGAGTAACCAGAGTATATTTACTTTCATCAAGAAAAACTAGCTGATATACTTCCAATTTTTATCCTTCTCAGATGTTGGTTGCCTTTCATGACTCATAGTAAGCCAGAATTACAAGTGCCCTTCAGTGCCTGTCCTGAGGCTGTTTTGATAAAAAGTGGAATGTGACAGACCTACCAGGATGAAAAACCTTCACTTATTTCATTTGGGCTTCATTGGCATTTTCTCTTTCTCTAATTCTGAGATGGTTTTATTGTAATCTTCCAGTAAGAAATGGGCTTATTACAGAGTAAGTAGAGGGTCCAGTTGAGATGTTGGTCCCTTCAGGTTCACAACTCTGCCAATGTGTGTATACTGGACAAAAAGAAGAATTCCTAGCTTTTGATGTCCTCTTTGTCTGCCCTCGAAGGGGCTTGTGTCAGATGACCAATGATGTAAACCTTTGGAGCTGCAATGATCTACCTGCCTTTGAGTCTGTACCAACTTTTAGAAGTCCATGTTGGCGGTGACAACAGCCCAAATGAGGTCAGGCTGAATCTCTCCACCTGGAACTTGGAAAACCCACCATGGCTCCTAGAAGCAGATGGCAGCAGAGGCCACAGTGACTGCAGTAGTCTTCAGGGCAAACCACACCAGTTCGTGAGCTGTTGCTTTGCCTTATATTGGCCAAGAAGTATTGAACATCTGTTGGGTGATTGAACATCTCTTGGGTGTGCCCCACAACGTGCTGTACTGTGGAGGCCAGAAACAAAAGTTGGGGACGTCATCCCTGCCGTCAGAGTTTATTATCTAGTGGGAGCCTTTTTGGTTCATTGCTGTATTTGTCCAACCTCTTCTCTGCTTTCATTTTGTAGACTTGCCCATCCCCATCCCAACCCAGAAGTTACCTGTCCTGTTCCCTCTTGGAGTTTTTTCCCTGTTTCCTAAGATCTCCCCTACCCAACAGAGAGAGTAGGAGATTATCAAACTGAGGAAAAACAAGGGGGTGCTGAGGAAGACCAAGTACCCCCCCCCTGCCTTTCTGTTCCTTTTTTCTCCTACACTCTGACTTAAATAAATGTGGGTAGGCTGGAAAATATTGTTTTGGTTTTGTTGGGAGTTTTTTAACCTATCTATATGGCTATATTTGTTACTCAGTTTTTTAATATTAAACCGCAAATGTTTCTGCATGTTTTCTAACTGAAGAGTTAGGGGTACTCTGAAGTTTGCTGTTTTGCTTTGGGGAAAAAAATAGACTTGTTTTTCTCTTGGTCCACAAAGCTGGCCCTAAGAACTCTTTGGAGCCCCACTGCCTAGCCTTAGCTTGAGTAAACAGACTGCCTTATGTGAGTCACCAGCCAGCCAAGTAGCCCACATATTTACTCAGAGTTTTTTCACCTCATGCGTTCCCTCCAATCCCCAGTAAATTTAAGGAGGCAATTCCAAAGTGCTTTTCCCATATTTCTCCACCACCACCATCACGGTCTTGTACGTAACAGCTGTCCAAAGGAGCCTCTCAAGGCATTGTCAGGTTATTGCTTTCAATAGGTAGGAACTTTGGTGCTTAGACCATAGCCTTCTCTAGTGCTTAGAGACTCATTCCTACTGTGTGGTGAGTGTGTAAAGGGATCGAGGCAAAGGGGCTTCGGATCTGGCTCTCGGAGCTTTCGTGGACAGGGACGCACACTGGTGGGCAATCTGTGATCTCCATAATTGTGGAGAAGGCCTTGGTTTTCCTGTATGCTGAGCTGTGTGGTAGTGTTACATTTATGGCAGTTTCTCTGTGTGTTTATTTTTGAGGCCATATTAAGGCCAGGGGACAGATTGGGGTGGATGTTCCTTTGTACCCTTGTTTCTGTCTGTAAGGAATTTGTTTTCCTCTTTGGGAATAAGCATCAAATCTAGCTGATCTAAGTTGGAGTAATTACTCTCAGTTGAGGTTTAGGCCTGTTATATTTCAGTGTCTACCAGTGCCCTTGGAATTTGGGATTAGCCAGGGGGCTGCTGATGTCAGCATGTATTAGGGACCCCCACCTCATCTTGGCAGTGATGAAAATAAATATGTTCTGCAGATTTGCAGATTAGCTGCAAACTAAGCCCCAGGACCCTTGGGAAATTGTCCTGAGGCATCCACAGGTGTGCTCCAAGAAATGCTCTGTGAAGAGGTTCCCTTACCTTTCCATGCTTTCCCTGCCTGGAAGCTTCTCCCCAACCTACACACCTGTGGGGGTGGGGGGCACGCTTCTCAACATTCAGCTCCGACTCTGCACATTGAAAGAGTAAAGTGGACCACTTTTATTTTTATTTTTTGCATGGTTTTTCCTTTAAATTGGAGATCATCTTGTTTGACCTCTTTTGAAAGTTTAAAGTAAATCTGGACTTGACTCAGTACCATCGCTTTGGTCTTATTTGGGGTAAACTCAGAGGATTGGCATGGCAGAGATGAGTGGAATTCAAAGGCCAACGTTCTGTGAAAGTCAAAACTGCAGCAGTAGAAGCCAATTGACATTGAAATATGAGAGAATCCATCAACAGGTATTTACTAAGCACCTACTATGTGCCAGGCACTATGCTAGGTGACGAGGATACAAGTGAGAAGAATGGAACATTCCTTCTGGCATTGAGCTTCCATTCTAATGGGGGAGACAGCAAGGACCACCCACAGGCACACACATACATATAAAGTGGAAAAATACAAATGCATACAAAGTAGTTAAATACACAGCAGTTTTAGTGGAGAGGGAAGGGCCAAGACAGGTTTAAATTCTGAGCTGCTGGGACCTCTTAGAAGACTTGCTCTAGTCAAGCATGGCGACCTCGTTCTCCCTCCTCTCCCCATTAGAATCTTTTGGCTTCCATGTCTCCGTCAGCGCTTCATTGAGTGTAAGTACAATCCTAAGCATGTACAGCCTGGGGAGCGAAGATGTTTGTACTTATAAGAACTGGGGTTGGGGGTAGAGGAAGCAAGTATTCATTAACTAGACACCAGACAAGTACGTGTTAAAATGGAAAGGTTTCTTTAGTTTACAGAAGGCTTTCCTCAAAACAACACTGTCATAGGAATGCAAGTAAGATTCTCGTTTTTCAGGTGAGAAAATGGCTCAGAGAGCTTGAGTGACTTTCCCATGATCACACAGCTAGATTTTAGATGAAGAAAAGTCAACTTTTGGAGTAGATGCCCTTCCAACTAAGGTGAAGGCCTGAGCAGAATACTTTCTGATTTCATAGTTTCTAGAATGAAATCCAGGGGTGAGGAACCTATGGCCTCGAGGCCACATGTGGCTTTCCAGGTCCTTGGATCTGGCCTTTTGACCGAATCCAAATTTTACAGAATTGTGAAGTGTTCCGTAAAATGTGGATTCGGTCAAAAGGCCATACTTGAGGATCTAGAAAGCCACGAGTGGCCTCGAGGTTAAAGGTTCCTCACTGCCGGTAGACAATCAAATGATTTGCCCTCCTGGAGTATGTTGGCTTGTTTAGATTTTAGGATACTAGTATCTCATAAAGTACTTCCCCATAATCCTGAGAGGCCAGACAACCAGAAAGAGGCCATGTCAGACACCAAATTGCCCTCAGATTTTCACATTTCCGGTCACCCTTCTATGCTTTAGTAAAAATACTCCCCCAAAACACCATGTTACATGAGGGGCTTCCTTGCAACTCCTTATGACTCATTACAGAGCTCAGGACAGAGTGACCCTTCTAACAGGAAACATGGAGCTAAGGATCCTTGAGGCTACACATGGGATGTGTGGGAAACTAATCTAGCCACCACAAAAATGTTTTGTCCAGCTTAGCTGTAGGGGGAGGGTCCGAAGCACATTTGTTTTCTAAAGAACTGTACTGTTTATATTGCATTGACTTGTGGCATCTGGTAACATTCCAGCTCTTTTGTACACATTAGCAGTTGTGGAGGAAATGAGAGAAATGAATTCAAGCACCCCACTTTAAAGCATTAACAATGTGAACATTCTGGTGAGCTTTGCAAAGATGTAGACTAGGATTGGAAAAGGGGCCGCTAGGTGGCGCCATAGTGCATAGAGCTCTGGGCCTGAAGTCAGCAAGACTCATTCTCCTGAGTTCAAATGTAGCCCCAGGCACTTACTAGCTGTGTGACCCTGGGCAAGTCACTTAACTCTGCCTCAGTTTCCTCATCTGTAAAACGAGCTGGCGAAGGAAATAGCAAACCACTCTAGGATCTTTGCCAAGAGAATCCCAAATGGGGTCACAAAGAGTGTGACGTGACTGAAAACAACTGAACAACCACAAAAAAAAAAGGCTGGGATAAAGTTCACTCTAAGAGAAGAATTGTATTCACATTGCAAGTATCGGTATTTTCTACACCAATCCCCAGGATGATGGAATCTTTCCAAACTTTCCCAAAGTTTTCCTTTCTGCAGATTGTCACGAGGAAGAATCATACATACAAGATCATATCCTGTTGACATCATATATCAATCATACAAGATAACTTTTAGTTAGTTATAAGACTCCTGATAACGTTTGTTCAGACGTAACTATGCAGAGCAATGGATAGAGTGGTGAACTCCGAGTTAGGAAGGCCCGAGTTCAAATCCTCCTTCTGACAGCTACATGACCAGGAAAAGTCACTTAACTTCATAGTTTCCTTATCTGTAAAATGAGGATAATAACAAACACCTATCTCAAGAGTTGTGTGAGGATAAAGTGAGATAACATGCCAAGTACTTTGCAAACCTTAAAGCACTGGATAAATGCTAGCTATTATTATTAGCCATAAGAAAATAGTTAATCATGTTTTCCAACTGGTGTGATAGATGGGCACTGTATAAAAATTGTTTTTATTGGTCTTTAGACCACTGGCTAAAAGTGAGGATTGTCTGATAGTTTTCTGATCCTACCCAAATTACCTGCCAGCTGCACTGCATTTTAAGAATATACATTCCCTGCTACTGTCCAGGGCACCGGCAGCCTTCCCATTGCCTAGGTTCACAACCTAAATGCCATCTCTCACTCCCCATATCCAATCTGTGGCCAAGACCTGTTGGTTCTACCTTCCTGACATGTCTCACCTCTCACACTGCTACCACCCAGGTTCAGGCCCTCATCACCTCCCACCTGGACCACTGCAATAGCCTGCTGCTTGGTCTCTCTGCATCAGTCCATCCTCCACTCAGATGTCAAAGTGGTCATCCTGAAGCTTAGTTCTGACCATGTCACTTCCCCTATTCGGCAAATGCCATTGGCTCCTTGTGATCCCCAGGGTCAAACAGAGAATCATCTGTTTGATTTCTCAAGCCCTTTATAATGGGGCCCATTCCTACATTCCAGTCTTCTTACACTTTACACGTGTTCTTTGATCTACTGTTATGGTAGAATAAAGCCACTGAGTAGTTCCATCTGGACACCAATTTATTTAGCAATGCATGGAAGTTCCAGAAACAAACTTGAGTCCAAGGTTCTCAGTTGCTAAGGATATTGACTGTTGGTTTCTACACAGTTAATAAATGATTCGGGGGGAGGGGAAAACAGGAAAAACAGGATGTAGGGATTGAGATACCCTGGTTTCTTTTTGGTGGAATGGATCCTGAGACACTGAGGTGAGAGGGAGAAGGGTAGTTCTCAACCCTTAAGTTGGGTGACAGTTACAAGGGGGAATAATCTTGGCATGTCTTCAAAATCAGGTGACTTCTAAGAAGTTGAAACTTAACTTCACAAAATGGTGAACAAGGGCAAAATATAGTCACTAATGCTATTTTTAGTGGAACACTAATGACCTGCTGTGCCTGGCACAAGACAAAATCCCACCTTCTACAGTAAGCTTTCTTGATTCCCCCTTAAATGCTCGGGCCTTCCTGCTATGGATTATCTTCATTTTGTCCTGTCTCTGTCTTGCTTGTACATAGCTGTTTTCATGGTGTCTCCCCAATTTGGATGTGAGCTCCTTAAGAACAGAGACTGTCTTTTTCCTTTCGTTGTATCCCCAGCACTTAGCATAGTGCCTAGTAGGTACTAGGCTCTTAAATGCTTGTTGACTGACTTACAGACTGATCTATGTAGAGTAAGCTTTTTTTAGTGTTGGAGGTTTTGCCTCAGAAGGGGAGAAGGAGTATTCTGGTC